CTCGCCAAGATAGTAATAGCACTTATATTTTTATAGGTTGCATTGTGGTAATTACTTGATTTTTATATTTTTAGTAAAACTAGTTTTCCACCCAGTGTAAACAAAATATGTTTCTTTCCAGACAGTGTAACATTGCAGTTTTTGCAAGATGTCAGTAATAACTGAAACCAGTTAAATCAAAATCAGGCCACGCTCAACTTGCAATTTGTGCGTTACGAAATCAAAGCCCGTCACCAAACATTCTCGTCCTTTCAACCATGGAGACGTTATAATGTTACACTAAATCCCATTATTCGTTAGTAATGAGTAGTCCAAGAGTTGGCTGTGGGTGGTGTTGACTAGCTGCCTTCCCTCTAGCCTATCACTTGAAAATTAAGTACTCCAAGCGGAGATGGCCCTTGTAGGTTTGCGCGAAATTAAACAAACAAACAAAATTAATTGCACAGAAAATCTAATACAGTTAATTACATCTGCTCTCAAAAATTTTGGTTCCAAACAGAGTTAAAGAACTTGGATTTAGGTTATCAAGGACTTATCAAAATGTCTACATAAAGTTTTAACAAAAGTTCCGTTGTTAAAAGTATGAAATGGAGGGTGCTTTGAGCAAACCATCCAAAATATTTCTACTTAAAAATGACAAGTTTAGTTTGTTCGGATGTTGTTCAGCTCAAAGCAACGCAATCTTTGCTCTGCCCATCACGGGTATCTAAACCCGATGTTTAGCGTTGTAAGCCTGTAGACTTACCGCTGCTGAGCCACTGGAGGGTTAAAAAGTTAAGTTCCCTTTTAATATATATTTTGTATTTGACAATTTAAATAAGATACTTCAAGCATCATTATTTTAACACGAAATAAGACTTTACAATGGATATTTTACTATAATGCTGCTCGAGTTGGCGATAACATATATAATTTATGAAAAAATTAGGAAACTGATGTGTTTCCGTACTTCCTTAGAACTAACTATCAACAACCTGTAGCTTTAATGTAAAAAACAAAACTCATATAACTATGTCAATTACATTATACAATCTTTCACTCATGCTTATCAGGGAACAGCAAGACAAAAAATTTATATTTTACAATCTTTCCATCTGGCGGCCCTGGCGTGGCCAGGTGGTTAGGGCGCTTGACTTACAAACTGAGAGTCGCGGGTTTGAATCCCCGCCCCACCTAACATGCTCGCCCTTTCAGCCGTGGGGGCGTTATAATGTAAGGTCAATCCCACTATTCGTTGGTAAAAGAGTA